ATTCCGAACGAGAGAACTCCCCACCAAAATCTGGCTTATGAGAATAGGATGGGGCATGACCTGTATGGTCGATAATAACTTTATGAGTAGTGCTCCTCCTGCTACCTTCTGACCGGAGGTTGTGCACGTTAAATGTTCGGCCACAGGTGGCTGAAAAGCTGTGTGATTAGCCCAAATTCAGCGCCAGCCAATTCGTAGTCACGTTCATTTGCTAACTTCCAGACTGTATTGTTTACATACCAGTGCACTTTGTTGTTGTAATTTGATGGAAGTTGAAAAATTTCAAAAAAAGAACCGTTGAAGACGTATGCGGTTCGAACCGATCAACCCTGGTCAGTAACTGATCATGGCATGCTATAAACAGTGCTTCTCGGCTTTTCATCATCGATTGGCTTCATTTACAGGACGAAATCTCCACGATAATTCCCAAATCTCTTCACACTACCAACGTTCTATAAGCACTTGTGTACTAATCAAAATAAATCTTTGAAGAACATCATTCAATTTCATGTGTGTGTGGGAGAGAGAGAGGACCTTGTGGTGAAGATTTGTTAGTGTCGGAGCTGCGTTGGAATCTCTCTCCGTGCACTCTGTTTAGGCGAGTTATCGGTCGACTCCTCAACTGAGCTAACCAAATATAACCCCAACAACGGTTGTTCTGAGAGGTGTCAAACACCAGACATTTGAGCGCAGCTCATTCCTAATGTCTGGCTAGTAAAAGTGACCTATTCGTTGGTTGTTCTGGCCCTCAAGAAAAGCATGCTTCTCGGTTTTCATCATCGATTGGCTTCATTTACAGGACGAAATCTCCACGATAATTCCCAAATCTCTTCACACTACCAACGTTCTATAAGCACTTGTGTACTAATCAAAATAAATCTTTGAAGAACATCATTCAATTTCATGTGTGTGTGGGAGAGAGAGAGGACCTTGTGGTGAAGATTTGTTAGTGTCGGAGCTGCGTTGGAATCTCTCTCCGTGCACTCTGTTTAGGCGAGTTATCGGTCGACTCCTCAACTGAGCTAACCAAATATAACCCCAACAACGGTTGTTCTGAGAGGTGTCAAACACCAGACATTTGAGCGCAGCTCATTCCTAATGTCTGGCTAGTAAAAGTGACCTATTCGTTGGTTGTTCTGGCCCTCAAGAAAAGCAAACTTATTTTTATCTTGGTTCTTCTTGTAAACGATGTGGACACGGGTCTTGAGTAATTTTGCAGCCAAAAGCTGGATACCTTGATAGTAAATCGATCGCACCCTGAAATACGACTTCCTCCTTAACCTAGGGTAGCCAGCGGGCAGGAGTGTCATCTGTTCAGCTGGGATTAGGGGTTGGTTTGTCCCATCATAAGTAGTGGGATATTTTAAAGTAGTATAATTCCTTCGCTCTTGTGAACAGTGATATTTAGAATGGACTTAATGTGGCGGTGTTTTTTATCGTGCCATTCCAAACAGCCGATTCCTATAGGATCAACGTCACTGTGACTCGAGTTCCCCTTTGGTGAAAACCTACCTAAAGAGCTCCAAGAAGGACGAAATCGGTTGGGGGCTGTCGAAAAGTTTTCAGCAACTTTGTGAGTAGTGTATTGTGTCTATACAATGTATTGCTATATCTCCGGCATCGTACCAAATGAAGCATGAGACAGCCTGGTGAAGCAGTTGAAAAAGAGCACCATAAACGAGAGATTAGAATAATGTGTCACGTGGGATAAAATGTGTTTCTGAGAACATCAAAAATGAGAGATTCAGCTGGGTTCCAGGTGAGTGTCCCGTCAGAACCAAATTGGTGTGTGGATGAGAATATAATTCGAGTTAGGGTACTGTTTTTAATGCATCAGAAACGGAGGGATGCACACAGTTATTCGCTCGGGCGTGACCCAACTAAGACAGGTCAATCGTATACGCGGGCCGTTCTACACAAAACGCCATTTTTATTCGTATTGCACCCAACTACCATAGTTTTCTCCTTCGCGAATGCCACTCGACGTCGTTCCCTTGTGAACTACTCAACTGGTCAGGTCCCTCCAAGAGTAGACCAAGTGCCGAGAGAGTTCATCTTTGAGGAACTCTGCTATTTATCTGGTATTTATCTGCAGAGCAGTTTTACTATACTTTCCTGCTGTGGGACGGACGCTTCGAAAGATAGAGTGGAACGGTCTCATTTGAAATTTATCCTTCCAAAGAGACATGATCTTATACTTGTTCCCTGCCTACCGGTCCCCGATACTAACTGACAGAAAGCGACGTATTCGTGGGGAATACTTTCCCCTGAAATATGATTCAAGAATGTTTACTCTTATTCACAATTCTCTCGATATTTGGCTTCTTATGGATACTATAAGCTTACATACGGGTAAATACATTGCTCGATTCTATGCCAACGAATGCACAAATTTTGTCACACCGCACACCCTCACACCCCTCCCAGGGACTAGCACCAGTCGCTCCCATGAGAAAAGTTCTTTGAAGTTCAGGGTTTCTTGGAAATCAAATTTTGACGACAATGAACGAGTATAACAAAGTATTCCGAACCGTTTACTCAGTTAACTAATCAGGTCTCAGTAGTGTGGTATACTTGGCTAAGTTGCAAACCAAATTAGTTTGCAAATGAGTATATATTCGCTAATTTCGTGCAATTTGGTTTCAAGTAGAACATAAGGTTGACGGAAACCCGGGGACTGCGCCTACCTGATGAACCCCAAAAGGGCGAAACCGGTCGTGGGCTGTCGACGGAATTTCAGCAACCTTATGAGTAGTACATTACAAAGTTGCAATTTAGTTTGCTACTGGTAGGAGGCGATTTCGAGATAACAAAGTACATTTTCTTAGGATGACATGCCGACCATAAGTCACAAATAAGTGTAATTTGCCAACTGTATACAGTGTGGTGATCGGGGAGAGCATGATATTGATCGGAAACTACGCCTACTTGGTAAACGCAAGAAGAAAGAAACCGATGCTGGGCTGTCCAAGAGGTCTCAGCCATGTTATAAGTAGTGTGTTCCATCAACAACAAAGCCAATTTTCAGTGTCAACCTAGAAAATCTGCGACGAAGTACACCCCATGGACTATTACTGGAGAGATCATCCTGAAGGACCAATCAAAAATGTTCTCCAGGAGCATTCGTGCCGATAGTCTGTACATACGCCGCTTCAGAATGAAGACGTAAAATGGCTAATTCAAGCCCTTCATCTTTTAGACAAGCCTTATTAGACCGAAAAAATGATTAAATGATTAATTCTGGAGTCTGAAACAGTTGAGATTACAAAACGACCAGTGAAACTTTTGAACATCGTCACAACTCAGACCGCCAAAGATGAACTGGAACTGTGCGGGCATGCAGCAAATTTAGACAGCTCTCTGGACGGCTCGCTCTCAGAAAACAGATTAGTTCGTTTAGTTTGATTAGTTCTCAGGAAAATCCACCTATATGTGTTTTTTCCAAGTCGGTACAACTCACAAGAAGCCATCTTCAGTCGACAGACTTACGTTGTTTTATTCGGAAGGGTTGACATCTACGTAGAATGGATGGACTCCATTTGGTGGGCCTTCAGCCTTGTTTGGGATCGATTTCAGTTTACTGATTTCGACTTTGTTCCTGTACCCTATAAGAAATGTGAAATGCGACGTGAGCAATCTCGGATTCCTTATGCCTTGGAGAACTGTGACTGTATTTAACAGACGTATAGTCACATGGACGGCTCACAATTTTGTTGCTTCCAGTGTACACGCCTGACGTCGGTTATAATTCACTATACACTATTTATTTGTTTTTACGTCAGCGTGCAAGCATTTCCTGCCCTCTGATGTTGGGGGGGGGATATTTACAACCAGGCCATGCACTGCCTTTGACTCAAGTTTAGGTCTCAGGTACTATCCCAGTTTGCAGATTCCTAACAAATTCAGACTCTCTGTACTACTATGACGTTGCGCATGGAAGATAAAAGAGTTCTATTTATGCTGATATTTTCACAACATTGTAGATCTTTTATAATGGAGCGCCATATTGGTATTTAATGAGCCCCAGTATTTCATTTTATTACTTGCAATAGCATATTAATCCGGTAAATGTGTTTTTCGGCGAGGTAGACCCTGACATCCTCAGCTAGGGCCAGTCAAGTCACTCTTCACAGCCATACATCACATCGCGGCCAAACATGGGGTGCCAAAAAGGATCCTAACCGACTAGGGGCCTCGCTTCGAGAGCGGAGAGTTTAGGAATTGCTTGCAGAAGCTGGGTATCAGACGGCTAAGGATGACACCATACCACCCGCAAACAAATGGCCTAACGTAATAACCGAACGATCAAGGAGTGGCTGACGGCCAAAGGAGGTGACTGGGAAGTGAACTTGCCAATGGTGTTGCTAGCTCATCGTGCTTCCATACAACCAACACAGGCAAGTCCCCGTTTATGCTGCTGTACGGTTGATCAGGATATTGGATTGTGGCCGCTTGTCGCCGGATAATTTGAATTGAAACGCTGTCAATAAAAGGGAGCTGACAAAACGCTTTTATTGGTTAAAGTTTCGGTGGCCGGCAAGACAGACAGGAACGACTTCAAAGTTCAGACGAGCATAAGTTTGAGTGTTGATTCAAGCCGGAAAGACTATCGTATCTGTAATGACTATCTTGAGCTCGTCTTACGCAGTGTGACAGGTCAAGCCGGCTGGGCTATAAACGCCCAGTGTTTTACTTGCGTTCAGCAAAGGTAAGCCTGGAAAACATTCCGACCATCTTGGTCGGTTCGATTGGCTCCTACCCTCCACTTCCCCTTTCAGTTTAGTGCTACAGCCTCGACCACTTAACAACCCACCGTCTTGGAGACAATTAGGGCTCCGCCCTATTCGCGACGGTGATTGGTTAGCTTGTCACTGGTCCATGTTGTCTACCATGGCATCAACCAATCAGATATAAGCAAATGTTTGTGTGCGTGATGTGCAGAGACGAGTTGAAGAGTGCTTCCCTGAGATCTAACCAAGCCAACGATTGTGCATTGGTGACGGTTAGGCAGGTCTACACACAGAGAAGAACAGCTCACCTCTCGGGTCACTGTGTTCAGGCTAACTCCCTCTGGTTGGTCGATTGTAGTCATACTAGGTCTTGTGCGCATTTGTCGGCCAGGATTTGCCTGGCGTTGATCGATTTACAATGTCCCTGGAATTGCTCTGCTGACGCCGCCATTGTCCGCTTTTCTCTGGCCCAACGCTGGCAAAAATTCACCGAACTCAACAAATCGCGGACAGAATCTAATCCACTTCTCTCCGACCGGGTTACAATGACGACCGCTGCAATGTTACCACCCAAACTTCCCTCAACTCCTACTCAGTTGCACGTCAGTACCGGTCAGCTTCGTGGAGATCATAGTTCTGGAGATGGTCAACAGCAATCACTGAAATTTGACGATACCGTAGTAACACCCAACTTATCCGAGAATTCGATGATGGTATTGTCACAATCAGTTGATTCCTTGCATACTTTGGCTACTAACGGAGGAGTAGACGATACTGAGGTGAGTCTGGTTACTGTTTTTAGAAGCGTGCTGTTCGAACGTCGCATACTAGGTCAACAGCTTCTCACTAGAGACCGATTAAGTGAAGTCATGAAACACCGTGGTCCCACCTGTTTCAGACATTAGTTTTTGTATCTCACAGAACTTTGGAGAAAAAACTTGTGACAGCCGCTCTCGTTTTTAGAAGACAAGATCTGTTCGCTCGCGGTTGATGTACTGCGGAGTCCTCATGGACTAACTGTTCGCATTAGATATGTTGTTTACGTTGCGGGTTGTGGTTGGCTCATATCTCGTAAGTCACAGTAAAGCACTGTAGGTAGTCATAAATGGCTTCGGATGCTAGGTGTCCTTCCCGAAATCCAGTAATGACACAGGACAAAAGCAAATTGGTTATTCAGACCGTAAATAGAATTTGAGTCCTATGCATCTGACCTACACTTGGTTTGCTAACGGTCAACAAGCAACCGCCCAGTACAGCTGATACGTTCACTGGGAAATCCCAGAGAAGAAAAGTTGCTATCGACGAGACATTGTTTTATGGATTTTTCCTGGGACAGGAGAGACTTCGGAAAACCACTCCATATAAAAATTTCCCAAGAGATAACCAATTTTTGTCACATGAAAAGCACGGTTGCAGTCTCACCTGGAACAGGGGGGAGTAAGGCTTAATGACTAGTGCCACTTGACTTGTACTTTCAACTGATCTGATCCACACACTTTAAAAGTGTAAATTGCCACTGAAGGATTTGATGGGATCGAACCCAAACTACATGATGGCAGACAAATCACCTAATGTCGGTAACTCCTGGTGAAGTGTCGAGAAGTCCAGAACAACTCATCCACGATAGACATACGAGCCACACTCCGTAAGTTGCGCTGGTTAGGACATGTACTTTGTACTTCTGGCTGACGAGGCCTCTTTTCCTCAACCCGCCACTGAGCGGGAAACAACTGTTTGCGGTTATTCTATAACTTGTCAAATGAATTACAAGAAACTGATCCAACAAACAAATCCACCTTGTGGATTACTGTGCTTCAGATTGGACACCTTAGGACAGTATATAGCAACGGACCTATCATCATCGTTGTCAGCTGTAATAACCGCGTACTTGTTGTACAGTGGCTGTAGCTGCCACAGTTTCGTTCACCGATAATTCGGGGAGGTGGAGTAGGTAGCTGCACATTGGAGGGGGGAGCTGATAAATTAGTGCACAAATACAGCACTGTAGATGGACCTAACCCAACCATGCAGCCAGTAGGGCGGGTAGATGAAGCTCGTCGCATTCATTGCGCGGCTGCCAACGGAGGAATGCCGTTCCGTTGCTTCCCTATCCCTCTGTCTCCAGCAACATCAACCGGTTCGATGACTATGATACTGATGGTCTTTCACAAGGGAACACTGAAACCCTAGTCTTCTTGTTGAGCAGTCAGCCTAACAACATACAGTTCTAGGATATAGGTCAGAATGCGCGTTACAAATTTAGTGAGATATTGCAAAACACAGTTGTGAAAGTATCGAACATCAGTGGGATCTTTGTCAAGGCAGGCTCGTGGATTTTTGATGTGGTTGGCTGGCGCAAGAAATCCAGTTGGGGGAAGAGTCACCAGACATTTTTCGGAATGTCAAAAAGAAGACTGGCATCCGGACAGATCAATAGAATCCATTCAATGCAGGAGCCCGGAAGACAACTCAAAGACGAAAAGCTGCAACAGTGGACTGGGTCTCACAGTCACTACTGAACGTGTCATCTGTTCAATCGACTTCATCTGGTAAGGGAGCAAAATGTTCACTATGACAGCCCACATAATTACGCTCGAGTCCACATCCTCAGATACCTTTAACCCGGGTTGTTTGTTAGAAGAATTCTGAAGAATTCCTGGAACCGAAGACAGCCAAAAAATATCACGTCAGTTCCTAGGCTTTTACACAATCTAATATTGATCGACTTCATCCCACGCCTTAGCTAGCAATCTTGATAAGTTTTGTCGACCTTTCGTTACTAGTCACCTTCTCTGGAACGACAGGTTGACTTCTTGGGACTTTGTTTCGGGGTATCTCCAGCAGTCGCTGCCAAGAGATTCTCTAGAATCGATCACCGTCCAAAAAATCAAGACTTTAACATTTGAAAAACGTATTCATCGGACACCAATCATCAGGCACTCAAAAGAGAGCTCGCATAACCAGTGACTTGTATCATTTCCTTAGCCTGTGCCCACTGATTCTGCTACTTTATCCCAAACCCAGCCGACATTGTACACGCCTTGAGTGCGTTCACCCATCGATCAGTCAGCTGACGCACGGATAATATTAGTTCATGATTGGACAGATTCCCTGCAGCCCATGTCTGTTTTTCTTCCAAACAGTTGATTGGTTTCCGTATCACTGACGCTGTTGCATGCTGACACGCGTTTGTCTTGCATCCCACTCCGGTGCGCTTTTATTCCTCTCTGAGTACGCAGGTTATCAACAGGCATCGCAACGTGAACTTCAACTTTCTGAGTTTCCAAACGAAAGATTGGGAACCAGGAAAACTTTTTGGCTTTCATCTGTTAGATTTCTGTTTGATTTCTAGAAATTCGGGCAAATCGTTTCAGAAGGTTTTGTCTTTGTTGAGTCTCGTCGGACGGGCGTAGGAAGATCGGACACATGAATTGCAGTGTGTTACTTCTGAACTACGCACCCGCAAACCAGTTAGAAATTTGCTTCTTGACTGACTAGTTAATACTGCCGATGAAATGTTTCCTGATGCTCAGCGATTCTCGCGAAGCAACTGTCATAGGACTTAACTGGGTGTTTGGTCAGTTGCTTCATGCAACAAATAACAGCAGGTAGTTAGCTAAGAAACTGATAAGAACGATGTAAACGTTGTCATTGTCGCCCTGTAACGCTGGACGCCAACCTAGATTGTGCTCACTCAACACCCTTACGAAGACCTTGAGTGTAAGTTCTAACAACCCAGGGTTGTGCGTCTCTGCCTCTTCCGGGGTTGTGAGTCTCTGTCTCCTTCCGCAACCCCCCTCGCTTCTGCTGCTAGAATATCGTCATGTGGAACTTGATGCTCTCCTAAAAAATCCAACGAGTCAGATAGTTTATTAGGACACCCCGAGAGGCATTGAAAATTGCAGGTGCTATTGTATGGGGAAACTTTCGTTAGAAGGATTACAAAAGCTATAAAATCTGTTTTCAGAATGTCCTTCTCGGAAAGTGGGTCACCTGGAAAACGCGAGTATCGAACACACCCTAACCACTCGTACTGTAACACGGATTTAGGTAACAGAAAGAAAAATCGTTCAGCTGTAGCACCCTTTCGGTGCTTAACTGCCGTGCCACCAGAAGGAAGAACGAGGGTTGGGATACTGCCAGGTTGCCCAAGCCTAGACAGAGGAAGTCGAGAGGCAGAGTTCGGGTTTGAACCACGGGACTTCCGGTCAGTAAATTCGCTCTCTAACCACTGAGCCATCTCGTCCCCGAAATATATTAGGAGGTCCCCTTCGAGGTTTCAATGCCTGATCATACGAATAAACAATGATGGTAGTGAAACGAAATTAGTTAAACAGGGATTCGGTGTGATACCGTAATACGTTTGATATGACAGAGTTCGTAAAACCGAACCGGTTTTCGTTCTGTTATGAGTCAGGATGTGCATCTCGGCCATTTGCTCTCCCTTCTAATAACGTTCTGTAAACCAGATCAAGTTTAGGCGCTTTGCTGGGGCTAAGGAGACACTGGGTCTTGCAGGAAGACACAACATGTCTGGAAGCGGTCTTCCAGGGGATAAAATCACACCCATGCTTTCCCGTGTACTTCAGAATCTCATGTGGGACCCGGGACGGCGACGATCAGTCCTTGTTGTCTTTAATTCCTTGTCGTTCAGGAATCACTATGCTTCAAGAGCTCGCATTCTTCTGCCAAGCAGCAGTCGTCCGCCCGGTTCGCATGATTTTCGTAGATGATTCACCCACCCACTGAGCTCGTTTCATCTTTCGTTCGTAAACCGATCAGTGATCTTCAGTTAGCTAACACACGGGTATAGTGAAAGTATACCAAAGTCGGTGAACCACACTGGAAACTGTTCATCCCGTAAGCTAGTCATTGGCCGTGTGAAATGAAGTTCTTGGAAAGAAAATGGCTGTGGTTTTTCAAACCGCCCTTATTTCGGCCATTACTTTAATGGAAGCGAAGTCCGTTGGAGCTACGCCAATAGCAGGTCTTACGGAGTGGCCTCTTCAGATCAATTTTTCAAACCCTTATCATCGATCCAACTGAGTCAGTTGGCGGGATTGCATGACCTTCAACACAACCGGCTTAGCTGATAGACTAGAGGATCCCGGCCTCACAGAGTTGAGCCCACTGCGTAAACGACCGTTTTTCATAGTCGTACACCATAATTTGATTGGTCATCGGACTAGGTTTCGAATCGGCAAGGAGACTATACTGGGATATCATCAGGCTATTGGTAGCCCACGAATTATTACAAATCAGCGTGGCAAGCCACCTGCCGACACTGCAGTAGAAACTGATTACTTCGGTTTTGTCATGTGTCAGAACTGTTGAACGCATGGATGAGGGCCAGGCTGGCAAGACTTTAGCTAACGAGTATGAAAACTGGAGTATGGGCCATTGGCTATAAACTTTTTCCCTTTGTCCAGGGCCAAACGATTTACTGTTGGTAGTCTGGGGAAATGGGGAATTTCGAATTGAGGTTTCGTCCTATACATGAAGCCAACCTACACTGTGAGGTACCGTACAGCTGTCCTTACTGGGACTCATCGGCTGGGCGTATCTCACAAAACTCAAGCGAGTTCCGAATCGGTGGCCTCTCAGCTATCAACCGTTTGGCCTCAAGCGGTTGGACACTAATGTGATTAGTTCGCACCATAAGTAGCTCACAGGGAAAATAGAACTCACTTGGTGAGTGGAACTTTCATCTGAGTAGTATTCACTCGAGGAGTCAGTCAATGATGGAGTCAGTCATGATGGGACTGAAAGGGGGCGTGGA